AAGCTCGATTCTGGCCCTCCATCCCTGCTCAGCTCATACTTCTATCCATCTGTGTCTTTTACTTCACTCTGGGTTTCTCCTCTGTATCATACTTGCTTTGGTAAGGAAGGAAGGTGAAGACAGAACAGAGAGGCCCATGAGAGCGCCCCCTGGAGACAAATGCCAGAACAACACCCTCCAACTTGGCCCTCAAGTGAGGTGTCTGGACCCAGGCCTGAGAACTGTGCCAGTACTTTGGAGCCTTTGAGTTTGATATTTTAGATTCTTTAAGCCAGACTCTGGCATGTGCATGGGTCCTCACGTGCGTGAACATGTGCCCGCAGCAACTTTTATTGACGGTTCAAGTTACCAAAGAGCTTTTTTAGTATGGTGTTGTGAAAAACTTAAAAAATTAAATGTGATATTCCAGTTCCTAAAGATTCTTTGGCCACCTGGTCCCAGGAATTTCTCCCTGGCCACAGTTCCCTGCAGGTCTCTGCCTCCTGCCAGCCTGTTCTGGCTGTCTCCCGACTTCACACTTCTTCTGTCTATATGCGTAGCCCCTATATGTGTATTTGCCTCGACTTCTTAGCCGAGCAGATTAGAGACAGCCTTGGGCTTCTGTGCAGTCCTTCGTACGTGTCCCTTTGTTTTTATGTGCCCATAGGAATGGGACAAATGCAGGGAGGGTTGACATTTGCACAGGGGTGTGGAAGCCCAGGCAGCCAGTCCGCAGCCCCACACTGGGGCCGCAGAGCTGAGGGAGATGCCCAACCAGTGATGCACATGGGGCAGTTGCTTCTTACTGTGAGTGTTGACAGGGACAGAGAGGCCCAGCTCCATGCTGTTGTCCACAGGAGCCTGAGGAGTCCCCGCGCCCCTTTACGGACCTGACTCAGGTAAAACCAGATCCTGGGCCACACCACAGCATGTTTGGACCAAGTAGGATGACGCAGAGTTGGAGTTGGTTAAAAGTAGAAAGTTCTCAGGGAAAGAAAAGGCTCGCTTGGGAGCAGGGTGTGGGCCTCTCAAATGAGAGTAGCGCCTCCATGTCTGTAGGATTCTGGAAGCTTTGGGAATTTCACCATTTAACTGATTTCTGAAAGACTGATTTCTCTCTCTCTCTGTCTCTCTCTGTCTCTGTCTCTCTCTGTCTCTGTCTCTCTCTCTCTCTCTCTCTCTCTGTCTCTCTCTCTCTCTCTCTCTCTCTCTCTCTCTCTCTCTCTCTCTCTCTCGTCTCCCCTGTTTGCTAACTGAGATTATAGGGAGCCTCGGTGGGGTTAGAATCTGATCAGATAAAGCTAGGAGCCACTAGGCTTGGCCAGAAGTTTAGGACATGTCCTTTTGATGCCGATGGGTTTCCTGGTGACAGTCTCCGGAAACCGCAGGTTACAGCGTGAGGAAAGAGAGAGACCTGCAGCAAATGTTGCTGCCTTGGAATTCTTGCTTCTGAGCTGGCGAGGGGCTTCACTTAGACTCCAGAGTGAGGAGATCCTTTCCAGGTCACTATAATTTTCCTTGCACATCTCTCCTGCCCACTAGCACGAGAGTACCCTGTCACAGCTCGGTCTTGAAGGCTTTTTTATTTTTCATGATTAAGATTTTTTTTGTGTTATTATTCATTTTACACACCAATCAAAGCTTCTAACGAAAGGTGAGAGAAACCCACTGGAGCAAACCTGCAAAGCTGGTGCCTTGGCCCCTTCCCAGCAGTCTCGGAGAAAGCAAAGTTGCTTGATTGCTGTAGCAGGCCCGCTGGTCCAGCTTACAGAATGTCCTCAGCCAAGTTTGAGAGCCCCACCCCCGCCCTCCACCCCCACATCTCTGAAAGGCCCTGGGAGTAGGAAGCTTAGCTTCCTAGTGTGGCTCTCACACTGCCTCTGGTGGCTACTGGTAAGCCAATTCATCCTTCCTCTGACCCCCAAGACTCTTTCATAGCCCTTCAGAAACGTGCAGGCACATGTGACAGAATTCTTATCGTGCTCAAGAGGGCATCTGTGGAGAGTCCAGAAGCAGCAGGTTGGAGCAGTGACAGGGTATGGGTGGGGGGAGGGGGGACGGACAGATGGACTCATCTCGAGTCAGCCTCCTTCTTCATTGTGCCTGTGTGTCTGATGTCTGAATTTTAAGGCTTTAATACAACACAAAAAGGCGAGGCAGCTAACGGGAAGCTAAATTCTAAACTGTCTCTATGAATGCTGGAAGTGTGGGCCCCATCCTTTAATGCTAAGAACAAGCGTTCTGTCTCCCAGAGCTGAGGAGATGGGGATGACGAGCCTGCACAGGGGTCTCCACACACCGCCCTGCAGGCAGGCAGGACTCAGCTGGCTCAGCTCCTCAGACAAGCTAACACACACTTGGGAGGGCCAGCCAGGTATGTACTTAAAAGGACTCAGTGGATCTCAGCTTGGGGTTCACCCACCCCCCTCCATGGACATTGAACAGCTGAGGCGGTTTAGCGTGGGGCAGGCTCTGAGGCCTGGGGGTTCTCTATTCTGGAGAGAGGCTCTCATTGTCCACAGAGAGAGCAGACTGGGGAGAAAGTGTGTGTGAAGAGGCTCTGGGGCCGATAAGCATCTGACCTTTAACCCAGGCCCGGCGCATGCACCCAGGCAGATTATTGATATGGCACCTGGTTTTAAATGTCCTGTCTGTTGTCACTCCGAATCACCGGTGACTCTTCCCTCTCGGCCTTGCCCACCCCTCCCACCATGGAACCAGCGTTGTCAGAGGATGCGTCCTGCTCCTTCTCGAGCATTCAGTGAGGATGTGTTACACAACAGGAAATGGACAGTAACTTAAAGGATCATGTGTGTGGCCACCTGGAATTCCTGGGACCGGCCCAACATGAACCGCTCTGCTCTGTCACCATCCATTCCTGGGAACACCGTGTGCCTCCAGCTGGCCCTTCATGCTCTGCTGCTGACGTCAGAAGCTGGCAGTGCCGCAGAAAAAAAATTAAGTTAATGAATATAATTTTTCCACTTCAGAGTCCTCTCCCACTTTTGTCTTACACATTTGGCATCTGGCACCTATTGTAGAAAGCATGTGCTCGTAAAACCGAACAAGCGACAGAGAAACACCAGTGTCCAGGAACTGAGCCCTGCCCATGTGTCCGTGTCCCTCAGGAGCTCTCCACGTGCGCATGAGCAGCACAAGGCCTGGCATCTTCTGGGTTCTGTGTGCCCACCGCCATCAGGACCTCCTGTCTGCTGGTTTTAGTTTGGTGATAGAGTTCACCGTATCAGCACTCCACAGTTATCTAAGAGCATCCCCGGGACCGAGGACGAGACTCCTTGTATTGCTGAGTGCGGAGTCCCATGGCCTCTGAATCGATAGAGCTCTTTCTGGGGTGTCTGTAGAGAGGAGGGGACTGGTTTGCAGTTGGGAGTGTGCTATGAGGTGCGAGGTACCAGAGGGGAAGGCCTGGGTCTCCCACTCCTGAAATTCCACTCTGAGAGGGTATTTCCTGTGTGTTGATTGCTAAGAACTGACATTTTGCTTTTTACTGACCCTGCACCAGGGCTCTGTAGGAAGAATGGGTAACCAAAAAACAAACAAACAAACAAACAAACAAAACCACAGGGCAATGAAGGGGGGCCAATTTACACTGTCTCCGTCAAGATTTTGTTCAGCAGTGGGGTCATCCCGCCCTTGACCACCCAGCAGAACAAAACACCGCTCGTGACTTAGTAGGAATTCCTGTACATGGCTCCCTGTGGGGGCAGATGGGCTGGGTGGGGTACGAGGCAGAAGAAAACGAAGATGTCATTTGTATACTCCTTTGGACGTGGGGTTCTGGTCCTTTCTTGGGAAGGCTTATCTTTTCTTTGATATGATGTCTACCCTAGCTGTGTGGTATTAAAATGTCCTTTTTCTTTTAATTTTTTTTTTTAAGAAACATCTTTAGGAAAAAATAATTCAAGGGATTGACATAGGGCAGCATGCATAATAGATATTTATAATTTTTTCAAATTATATTTTCTTTATTCGTGTGTGTGTGTGTGTGTGTGTGTGTGTATGTGTGTGTGTGTGTGTGTGTGTGTGTGTGTGTGCTGGTTCTCCTTTTTTAGCATGTTGGCTCAGGAGTTGAACTCAGATCATCAGGCTTGGCAGCAAGCATCTTGGGCCACTGAGCCATCTCTGCAGCCCACTTCTGACCTTGCGCTGACTCTGGAATCCGGAGCCAGGTAAACACTAGTGGTACCCAGTGACTCGCTTCAGAAGTGGGCGTCTCTCTGGAGTGTGCTCGCTCTCCAGGCTTTTCTACCTGCACCTTTGTGTTCAGTCTTTGCGAGTTCAGGTAGGGCAAACCCTGTGTAGTGGCAGAAGTCACGTGACCTGGGCTTTTGTTTAGGAAAATGTCTGGAAGGTTCCAAGGAAGAAGAAGTCAGGTGGACCAGGAGAGAAGCAGTGGGTGGGTCTGTTAGATCTGGCATCAGGCTTAGCCCATCCACCATGGCAACCCATGGGAGTGCACATCACCCACAAGTCCCTTCTCCCTCAGACAGTCACAACTCTTCTGGTTGCTATGACAAGTACCGGATAAAGGCAGTTTAAAGGGAGGGTTGGTTTGGGCTCACAGTCTGAAGGTGCACTGGACGGTGGAGGGGAAGGTGTGGCGGCAGGAGGCACCATGGTAACGGGAATGCATCCAGGAGCCCTCACCCTCTCACATCTTGATGTAACAGGAAGTAGGAAGTAGATAGGAAATGCAGTCAGGCTGTGACTGTCAAGGTCTAGGGTCCCACTTCCTCTAGTGATGTCCCATCTCTTCGAGCTTCCATAACCTTCCCAACCCATGCCACCAGCTGGGGAACTGTGAGGGACATGTCACACAACATCGGGTCACCTGCTCTGACAAAGGACTGCCTGTGGTAACTCCCTTGTGATGTGCTTGTTCAGGAACCTGAAGCCAGGTAAGCGCTGTGCGGTGCCCAGTGACGCACCTGAGAGATGGATGTTCTTCTTCAGTCTGTTTCCTACGATTCCCCAGTAAGGCCAGATGTGTCTCACAGAACTGCAGTTTCAGTAGGTTTTTCATTACATATCCGAAAGTTGAGGGGGGAGTGAGCACACCCTCATAATATCTACCTGTGAGGTTTGAGCACGTACAGAGGTACTAATATGTTCATGTGTGCATTGTGAGTTCCCCCCAAATGATGGACAAGAACTGGAAACTGGCATCCTAATCCTCTCTTATCTTACACGTGGGTATCTGTGCACTGCGGCCCACCTCCAAAACGCCCTCCAGGGAGTGTGCACAAGCTGTCCAGTGAGGTTACACCTTACACTGCCAGCCTTTACAAGCAAGGGAAGCCGGGTCGTCTCACTGCCAAGTTCCATTTGGTGTAGGTGTCCTGGGAAGGAAGAAGACAGGGTTCTCAGAAGCCTGGCATGACCTCAGATCATCACTGGCCCCAGGGAAGGACTAAACCAGATCAGCAGCACTAAGGACTGGGCAGTGCTTAACTTTAAAGTGTTACTATATCAACTTCCCATTACCAAAACCAAATACCTGACACAGTTAATTTAAAAAGAAAAAAAGATTTATTGTCCCTTACAGTGTAGGAGTGTCCGGTCCACAATCAAATGGCTCCATGCTTTGGGCTGTGATGGAGTAATCATTCACTTATTTTCTCTAGGAACCAAAAGGGACTAGAAGAGGGAGAAAACAATCACATTTTCCTCTTCAAAGGTCTGCCCCAGTGACCTAAGAGTCTCTCATAAGGTCCTAGCTCCTAAAGGTTCCACTGTCTCCCAGTAGCAACACCCTGACAACCAAGCCCTGAATGATGGACATTGGGGGAGGCTTATCCAAGCCGAAGCTGATACCCGAGGGACCCCAGCTGTCACCATGCACTGTCATTTTCAGTCATATCCCCGTTCTGTGTGGAGCCCCAGTGTCACTATAAATGCAAATCTTCAGTCACCATGTAGCCGAGCCAGGATCCAAATAGGCTCACTTGGATCACCTCTTCTCGGTCACATCTCCTTTCCCACCCGGAGATGGCTTTTACAGTCACAAAGGTTTTGAGCTCCATGGAAACCGAAGACACACCATCAGCAAACCTCCTCCATCACTCTTGCCCAGGGTCAGGTATTAGGTAGGGATGGCTGGGAGTCAAATGGAATGAGGCAATCACTCCTCCCCACAGAGCTCACTGGGTCTGGAGCTAGTGGGGGGCACTGGGGGGGGTGTCCCTGAGTGTGACAGTCCGTGCAGGTCTGCAGAGCTGGCCCCTCTTTCTTGTCTGGGACCTCTCTGGATTGTCTTCTGTAAGAGGAATCCTTACATAATGGCTTCTGAAGTGGAGGATGCCCTGAAGGGAACTGGTCCACAGAGACAGTAGAGTGTGTCAGGGGTGGGGGTGGGGGTGGGGGCAGAAACAGCAGTCTGACGTCTGTGTGCTCGTGCATGGCTGCTCAGAAGGTCTGAGAAGATTCTGTAGGGTTACCGTGTAATCTCCGGGGACCTCTCACCTACTGCTAAGTAGCTGAATCAGCATCCTGAAGTGGAGGACAGGAGCTGAGGGGCTCACTGGAGCTGTCTGCTGTGTTAGAGTGCCCAGAGCATCTAAAGGCCCAAGTCCTGGTCCAAACATCAGCTTCTGCCTCCCTCCCTCCCTCCCTCCCTCCCTCCCTCCTTCTTCTCTCTCTCTCTCTCTCTCTCTCT